AAAGTGAACAGGTTTCAGTAGGACGTCCAGACCAAAAACAAACTATGTAGAAGGAACAGGGTGCCCTTTCAGAGGAATTAGCCTATTTAATAACCTTATTAATAATAACATTGAAACACTGTCAGGTACAGCAGTAGAAGGAGAACATTGTCAGAGATGATGCCATACGATGAGGCCCTTAGGTCAAAAGGCACTTAAAATATGATTGAAGATGAACAATGTGGAGTTGACCATAATGATGTTGATAAGGTAAAGCCTGCGAGAGTAAAGCCTTTTGACCTTCATTTGCTGATAGGGCATGCATTAGAGAAGAAACAGTTGTAAAAGTCTAATAGTAGGAATTTGGAATGTATGAAGTATGAATCTAGGAAAATTGAGGTTATCAAAGATGAAGTAGAATGCATCAAGATCGACACTAGGCTTTAATGAGCTGAAATGGACTGATGTTTGTCATTTTGAATAAGAAAATCATATCGTTTACTAGGAAAGAATCAATCTTTCTTTTGATGGTGTGTTGCCCATGTATTAGACTCATTTTTCCAGCTGTGCCTATTTAAGGTGGAACATTTTCTTCCTGGGGAGAAATCCTGTCTGAAATTATGAGATCTACAATCATATAGTTTCCTTAATCTCCTGGCATATCTGTGAAGCTCATGTTACAATCCCCACACTGGGGTGGGCTCTCAAGCTTGTTCACCTAATCTTGATCTTTACTCCTTGTTTTCTGTTTACTTCTGCTTTAATGTTTACTCCTAGATTTTCTTTTTACGTCTTTAATGATTATTGCCCTCCATCACCTGTATTACCTCTGTAGCTTTAGCTCTCAGGAGTTTTTGTTTACTTTTCTGGCTTCTCTATATAGTTGCCAGAAAGAGGTATTGATCATTCTGGGAGACATCATTCTTGGGGAACTTCGAAGCACAAACCCTGTGGAACTTAGAGCAGGTAATGCAGCAGCTTTCATTGCTAGCATGGAGACCTGTATTTTATATTACCACTAGAGACCACTAGAATAACAATCTAATCAGATTATGCTGCAAAAATTTAGATTGGGTAGGGCAGGGTTACAGTTTGGTGCAGTCAGTGAAGAAAACTACAAGTGAAAATCCATCTTAGGGATTTCTCCCCTTTAAAAAATATATGTACTTTTAATTTTTTAAACATCTAGTACTATTTTCATATTCTTGATTAAATATGTGAAATTAATTCACTTACCTCTTTAACTGTCTTATATTTCTAAGTCCATTTGGCAACTTCAGCCTTCACTAAATCAGAAATAGAGGAGAAAAGTCAATTGAAATATTTGAATTATGGTATCTGGAAAGTTAGCTATATGTAAGCCATAGGTTAGATTTCCTGGGAAATCATATCAGAAATGGAGTGTAGCTTGGGAGGTTGTTATTGGTGAGTGCTCTTACTGATCAACTGAGAAGGAGGGAAGGAATAGAGGATTGGGTGTAGAAGTTGAATTGCAGTACAATCCCAATAGAGTCACAGGTGATACCTCGTAGGGAGCTCTGGAACCTGAAAGTTCTTAAGTCAAATACTGAACTGTCATAATCTCTGACTAGGCAGCATTATGTGGGATATTTTAAAACTCGGTCTTAATACATAATCTACTTTAATGTAAAAAATAGTAAGCATGTAATTAAAAAGATAAAATTTTCTCTTTGGGGGAAAAAACAATCTGTGAAAGCGGGCATTTTTCCAGTCATTTGTTACTTTCAACCCTTAAGGCTCTCATTTCTAGTTTTAAAAACGACAGCGTTCGCGGGGAGAAGACAGCCAGTCAGGGTGCAGTGTAGCAACGATGAAACATACAACTTTCCTCTAGTTCTTTAATGCTTCCTCCCCCCACTATCATGATGCCAATTCCACCTTACAAATCCGACTTGCCACATGGACGTATGTATGGATTGTGATAAGAATTGTACGAGCCCCCAATAAAATGATTTTTTAAAAAACTCCAGTATTTCCCTGTCGTGGTCGTTTAGTGCTGTTAATGGGTAAATTTTATGAACAGAAATTTATTTTATCACAGTTTAGAAGGCTAGAAGTCCAAATTCAGGACACCAGCTAGTTATACAGGAAGACTCTCCCTCCCTCTCTGTTCTGTAGGAAAACCACATTTGTTTCTTTTAGAAAATTCCCCTTCCTCAGTTTCCTTGTGTTTTTCAAGTAGCAATCTTTCACCATCTGTGCTTCCTTGTTTCTTGGCCTGACATACTTTTTTACATATCTATCTTAAAACACACCCTACACTGAAAGTGCCTCATTGACATAGCAGATTTCTATCCCAAATGAGTTTTCATCTACTGCTTAGGATTTACAACACATATTTGGGGATAGGAGCAATTAATCCATAATATCCCCAAAGTTATTAAACAAGGATTCTCTTTGCTTTTCAGCTTGGGCAATGGTAGATGGTGGTTCAAATGTAAAAGCTCGAACTTCCTACAATGAGAAGACCCCAAGGATCGTTGTGTCCCGTTCCCATTCAGGAATGGTCAAACAAGTTGCTCTTCAGACTTTTGGAAATCAGACTACAATTATTCCTGCTGGTGGTGCTGGTAGGTTCCCACTGCCTTGTGTTCCCATGTAATATCAGGCTAGTAAGATGACTGTCCCAGCTTGGGAAGTAGAATAGAGAGTGTTTTTTCAAGACCGGTCTGACTCCTACATGAAGGGAGGAGTTTTCTTTGCACTTGACCTTCTTATAAGAAACAGTCTCATAACAGTGATGCCTTTATCTATGGAATAGCACAAGAGTATTCTGACATCATTGGTATATTCTATGTGAAAATACCATGTAAATGTGATTACAAAATAATTGTTCTATTATTACAACTATGGGTTATTGGGGAGGAGAATAAAGATCAAGCTCATATGCATGAGATCTCCTAGGATAGGATGGCTAATCTGTGGGTCACTTTACTTTTAATACCCTCAACTTCTCAGCTTGCTCCAAGCTAGTCCAGAATGAGCAAGAGTGTCTAGTTCCTGCTCTGTTTAATGTAAATGCCATAACACTGTGGACCTACTAGTTGTATCTTGGCAACTAGCAGGTTTTCTCTGAAAAGATGCAAACAATAAATACTCTAGGCTTTGTAGGCTTCAAATAGTTTCTATTGCATATTGCCCTTTAATATTTTGTTGTTGTTAGCTTGTGTTTGTTTACAACTCTTTGAAAATATATAAACCATTCTTAGTTTGAGAGGTGAAGGGAAAGCAGCTAGGGCATACTAGATTGACACACCCAGACTGTTGTTCGTGGACCTCTGTTATGAATATTCATCCAGTGTGACAGATGTGTTGTAATACAGATAAATAACAAATTATAGTCAGAAAACAAGTGTATGAAAACTTTTCTAACACAGCAGTAAAGGGCGATGTAAAGGTCTCATCATAAAGCCTAAGAGTTTCAGTGCGCCTGAGGGTCACTATGAGTTATTAATGACTTGATGTCAGGGAGTTTGGTTTTGATTGCATATATTTGCCTTTCTTACAATGCCTTCATTAATTCTTACACAGTCTATGTTAGAGATAAGGCCACAAAGAATCTGTTAAACTAGATTTTAGACCTATTTTCTTCTACATTTGTTTTCTTTTGTTGTGTCAATTGAACTCCTTATTAATAAAAGCATTTAAGAAGGTATTGTTGAATTGTATCCTATCCATTTAAGTTTAGGTATTCAAGTAAAAATTATGGTAGGTATATAAATTCAGTGTCATCCCATAGAAAAGAACATATAAGTGTGTGTCACTCTATAGCAGTGGTTCTCAACCTGTGGATTGTGACCCCTTTGGTGCTCGAATGACCCTTTTACAAGGGGTTGCCGAAGACCATCGGAAAACACAAATATTTCACAATATATAATTGCGCATTGTTTTGTGATTAATCACTATGCTTTAATTATGTTTAATTATATTCAACTTGTAACAATGAAAATACATCCTGCATATCAGATATTTACATTATGATTTATAACAGTTATAAAGTTATACATTTTTTATTACAGTTATCAAGTAGCAGTGAAAATGATTTTGTGGTTGGGCGCACCACAACGTGAAGACCTGTACTAAAGGGCTGCGGCGTCAGGAAGACTGAGAGCCCCTGCTCTAGACAAAACAATCCGAATCAGAAAATAGGTTAAAATGTACAGGCACATATTTGGTTATACTTGAAACTAGATTAATAAATTTACTTTGAAGTGTATTTTTCTCATTTTTGTTTAATGTGTGTGCTGCTAATTTTTAGAAACCTTTATATTTTTAAATAATTTTAAATGTAGAGAGCAGTTGCAAATTCATATAATGCAGAGACCTCCTGCTCACCACTTTGGTTACTTTTAAAAATGTATGTATATATTTTAAAGTAAACTATGTTCTTTTTTTTGTAAACTATTTTCTTAAGGTCTTTTATACAGTAACTGAAAATCTGTTTGTTATTTTAGGTTATAAAGTTTTGGCACTGTTGGATGTGGCAGATAAAGATCAGGAGAAAGCTGATCTCTATATCCATGTGACATACATCAAGAAGTGGGATATATGTGCTGGCAATGCCATCTTAAAAGCCCTTGGAGGGCACATGACTACCTTGAATGGTGAAGAAATTAGCTACACTGGTTCGGATGGTGTTGAAGGGGGACTTCTTGCCAGCATCAGAGTGAATCATCAGGCTCTGGTCAGAAAACTCCCAGATCTGGAGAAGATGGGGCACAATTAGTATAATTGACCTTAAAAGCGCAGCTCTTCCAGAGCCCGAGCCACTGAAGGTTTCAAGGGATGATTCTTTGTGGAGACTACGTGTGTTTACGGCCCTCAGCGCTGCTGAGTATTTACGAAGCATCAGAGACTTATTTTCCCCAGGATACAGAATGCACCATCAGGGAAAATGGGTTGCTTCGTGTCTCAAGTATTGTCTTTATTTTTGAGACTATTTTTCGTACAGTTGTCATACACAAAGCGTATATATATATATATATATATATATATATATTTGTGAATTAAAATCTATAGTGGAGTCTACATTGTTACGAGTCACCATTTTTGCACAATATCATGAATCTTCACTATTTGTTGGTATTTTCATATAGAATTTCTCTGAAAGGATTGATTTTTGTGTAGATGTTTAATATAACTACAATTCTCATTGAAAATCAAGTAATTGGAGATTTTAACGCCAAATTTGGAGGAAAGCACAAGAAGCCACACATACATTAATATGCAACAAATGCTTTATTACTATTTCTTAGAGATAAGAATAGAAAAACAAATAGATTTTTTCCAAAAATTTAATAACAGCCTCACCAGCTAATGGGAAATGTGACATATGGTGGTTGCATTGTAATTGTAATTTATGTGTGTGTGGTGTTTTTTATTTTCCTTCTTTTTAAGCAAAGTGTATTTAGACCCCGGAGTTAAACATTTCTGCCATATTGGTGTTCATTTTCATTTTGATAGGTGCATGGTCCCATCTGTCTTTCCTTCCTGACCAACATTTAGTCTTGAATAGTGTAAGAAATGAATGGCTTAAGGTTTCAGGGCTAACAGGATTTTGGCATATTTTCTCATTAGGGATAAGATACACTGTTATACAATATCAGAATATTGTGATTCTGTGAACTGAAAATTCGTTGACATTACATGAATTAAACTAACTTTCAAAAACAAAATTTAACATTGCTTTAGTACTTAATGAAACAAAATTGCCAGGTTTGAATGTAGAAGTTTTTATCTCATTTTCAAGAATGAGTTGTTATTGTTTTTGACTTGGCTGCTTTGTCATTAATTGTTTACCCTCAGATTAAAATAATTAAGATTAAAGTAGATTTTTAAAATGACATTAAAATTTTTTCTTTCCTTGCTTAAATTCAAATCTACAGGCTGGCTATAAGAAATATTGTGACATATTCATGTATGTCCTTGTAGCTGGAACCTTGCTCTTTGAGTTGTCTTACCTTAGACAGGCACTGGTTTCTCTGTGTAGTACATAGAAATGTCATTTAAAAACCAGTTTTAGGTGACTTCGATGTCTTCATGTTATTTAACACAGTGAAAATGAGTAATAGTTCTCACTGGGGTTTTCTTGTTGTTTTTAACTTTTAACCCTAAGACAAGTTTTTGTTTTTTTTTCTGTCTTGAAATTGACCAAAGAATGGATATTCTAACCTGGTGAAATGTACGTACAGCGTTAGGTTTTGGATGCTACACTTGACAAATGTTTTAATGCCTCATTAAGGAGCAGGATTTTCTATTTAGTCTCTAACAAGTTGTACTTAGTCTTTAGCAACTTTTCACAAGTGTGATAAAGTTATTTCACTGAAAATTTTTTGATGGTTGGAATGCATGGCATTTAAATAGGTCTTAATTCTGAAAGAATATCAGTTATTTCCTCTAGCTCGCAGTGAGATGATGGAACTTTGTCCTCAGGAGAAATGGCCAAAAGGCTCTTGCCAGGGACCTATGGCTTTCTTGCCTTGTGTCTAACTTCTAGGGAAATGCAATTAAGAAAATAGAAAACAGAATTGAATTGGGATTTCATTTTTAATTTTTTGGTTTTCCTTCAGTATTACATGGAAACTTAATGATTTAATGGAAACAAAAACTAGCTCACACTAGCAACCGTTATTGTTTTTGTTTTATTATTTCATCTGCATGTAGATAATGATTTTGAAGCATTTTAGTTATGTGCAAAAATGAAGATACTGGCCGACAGATACATTATTTTTATAATTCTGGGTGTATCTAGTTACTAATAATTTTTAAGTACTTTTATGTAATGTTATTAAAAAAACCTCTGTTTCTAAAAGTCAATATGCATTACCAGGATTACTATCAGTACAAAAGTCAGTATTTATATATTTATGTGAGAGATTAATTGTGCTAGAACATACCCATAAAACAACTTCATGATTAAGTAGAATTACTCACTGAGGCATGTAATATATTCTATGATTGCATTAATTATTTCTAACACATAGCAAAATAAGTAGGCAATATACATTTAGACGTCTCGACCTTTCCAACTCGTGGTTTTATCTCTCCTTCATTTTAGCTCTTTTTTTCGAGGATGATTTTCCATTAAAATTGAGTTTTATACACTGTATTTATTAGAAAGCTATGGTATTAGAAACATCAGTACCCATCAGTTAAGCCTATCCTTAGCCTCATCTTTTCTCTGTTTGCCTCACTTGGCCATGGTTCCCTTTTATCTTCCTCTTTCTTAGCCATATACTGCCCTGAATTTTGGTGTGTACTCATTTCACTCAAGATGGATTGTTCTCTTGTGATAAAACTGAGACCCTAATAAACTTCATTAGAGGAGATCAGTTTTGGGAGAACTCTAATAAACCTTTTTTCTTCTTCAAAGATTCACTTTAAAAGGTAAAGAACATTGCCTCCAGAACTATAAAGTTTAAATAGATCTAATCTATTATTTTGTCTTTATAAAGACATCTGATTCACCCCTCAAAAATATAAACATAAAAAATACAGGAGTGTTACATAAGCCTTTTAAAGAAAACTGTCTTCTTGTAAGATATATTGTTTGTATCTCGCATTTCAAGGGCCTACAAGTTGGGTCATATTTGTCTTTGGTATATATTTCAATTGTACTCTTCCCCAATTTTAATATTTGTTTATTTTACATTAATATTTACATGAACTGTTCATAGCTATATAATGAAATAACAAAAGAATTATGTATTTTAAATAACTGCTTATTACTTGTTGGATGCACTCTGAATATTTTGCAAATTGTATCAGAGAAGTTGAAGGGGAGGGGCAGTGCTAGTAGAAGGTGCAAAGGATATAGAAGTACCTCAGCAAACATCTTTCTTGTGTCAATTATCAGTAATTCTGCTCTCTCCTCAGAAAGGGGTTTGTATTCTAGTTTGAAGGGTGATTATTGTCTCTGATAGCCCAGTCTGAGCACAGCAAGCTGGAATGCCACTCTGCTCCAAAGGAAAGACAGTGCCTCTTTCCGCTTGCTGAGATGGCCTGTTGGAAATACTCTTAAATTAAAAATAAGAACTATTTGGGTTATTCTAGTTGTAACTTAACTATCTTTGCTATATGTTAGATGTGTCCTGCATAGAAACATTGATTTGAAATTTTATATCTTGATTGATTTTAAAAGATGTATATAATTATTTTCAGTAAATGTGTACAAAACGATTGTCTTGTAACTGATGTGTTGTGAAGATAAACCTAAACACCTATGGTTTCATATTTATCCTAAAATAAAGTTGTGCCTTAACAATAGGGCATTGTATGTTAACAAGGGAAGAACCTATCCTTTTTATAATGGGGAAAATAAATTTTTTTTGCCATTATAATTAAGTTCTTTTAATGTGTTTTAATGTTGGATTTGAGCAAACAAAATCTATTCAAATAAAATTGATAGAAAACTAATTTTGCATAATCTAGAATTTGTGACTAAACTACATTTAAATTTTTAAATAGTTGTATTGACATTTATTTTATATTATACAATTTAAAAGTTTAAACATGTTAAAAAGAGTCAGGCAGTTGTCACACAACTAGTTTTAAACATTTTCTTTTTAGGTTTTTTTGTTAAATCATTTTATTGAGGTCTCTTACAGCTCTCTCTCTCTCTTTTTTAACATTTTATTGGGGGCTTGTACAACTCTTGTCACAACCCATATATAAATCCATGTGTCAAGCACATTTGTATATATGTTGCCATCATTTTCAAAGCATTTTCTACTTGAACCCTCTATCAGCTCATTTTTTCTCTCATCCCCACCCTCCTTCCTCATGATCCCTTGATTAATTATTATTGTTTTTATATCTTACATGATCCACTGTCTCCTTTCAGTCACTTTTCTGTTGTTCATCACCCTGTGGGGGGTTATATGTCGATCATTGTGATCGATTCCCTCCTCTTCCCCCATGACCGAATGCCAGATTATTAGAGCAAAGTGTTCTTGCATTGAGGGAGTACTTGAGTCGAGGGCCAGTTTCCATCTGCTCCCTTAATACTTAACATATAAATGTAAGTACATAGATCTATTTCCCTATTGTTATATATAAATATAATTACATATTTACATGCCTGTATTTTTTGTCTCCTAGTTCTTTCCACTATTTCATTTTCCCTTCCTCTTATTCCATTATCATGTTCTGCCTCACTCAGATTTCAGTAATTCCTTGCTGTTTCATTGCCCTTGATTAAACCCCACTAGGCACCTTACACTCTTCATCAATTTTAGTTCATTTCTTGTTCCTTTGTCCTTGGGTTGGTTCTCCCGCCTCCCCCTCTCCTATGTCTCCCAGGAACCATCTTCTCCAAATTGTTTATCCTGCCTAGCTTATCTAGGTAGACATATAGAGACAATAATAAGTGCAAAAACAAGACATAGCCAAACAAAACAACAAAGGAACACAAAATCAACAACAAAAGAAAATAACGACAAAAAGTCAGTGACCAAAAAGGAAAAGCCGATAAATAGTTCAGGTTTGTTTTTGATCTTTAGTAGTGCTTTCAAGTCGAGTCTGATGGGGTGCCACACTCTGTCTCCAAAGTCTATTTTTGGTATTCCCTAGGGACTTCATTGCTTTGCCCCGCTTGCTGCTCTGTTGCATGCCCTTAGTGTTTCACCCCAGCATGATGGGGTCAGATCAGGCATAACTCCTGCACTGTGTCTCCAGTGTTTTACCCTGTAGTGCTATGGTTCAAGGAGAGACGTCGTATCGTGGTGGGGCTGGCCCTATGGTTCTCTCTGCATTGTCTGCTCTGAGCAGGAATATCATCTTCGGAGCTTGATGGGCCAAAATGTGTTCCACTTACTCTCCTTCCCTCTTTGTTTGCTCCTGTGTGCCCTGATCAGATGTGCCTCTCTCCTCAAGCTGTATCTTCAGTGCTGTCCTCTGAAGTGCATTCTTCTGGGGCGTGGGGAGGTCCACATATTTGGGATTAGGCCCAGCCCTGCAGACCTCTATTGGTTCCATGCTACATGCTGATATGTTGCATTCACGTCTTGGCACTATGGGTTGAAGCCTGGTCTGTCTCCTTCTTTGGAGATATAAACAGTACCCTCCTGAGATAGTTTATTGTGCCAGTCTGGCTGATAAACACAAGTGGGATTAACTGAAGGGCAGAGAGATAAATGGCTCGGTGAGCCTCGCCTTTCTTGTCTCTTGCTCTTTGATCATCGGACTAGTGTGCGGCTGCCTTGCTTGTGTGCTTCAATTTAAAGGCTACACTACCGGTGGGACGCCTAGCCTGTGGACTGTGTCGCTGTAAGTTGAGGTCCCTTTAAGACATCTCTGGAGCTGGGGACTGGCGGTTGGTGACCTGGCTGACAGTTGGTGACCTGCCTTGTGATTGGCTGTTGTGCTGACATAGCCTAGCTCTCTCTCTAAATAGAGGAAGATCTGGCAGCAGACTAGACTTGAAGGACTGCTAGTCTCTCACAACTCTCATGGGAGTGAGTTGCACTGAGCCATTTGTAGTGCTTTATAATTTAACTTCATTTCTTGTATTATATATCTGTATATGATTTAACAGTTCATTTCTTATTATATATCTAATTCTCTTTATAAATAAATGTATTAAATTATCAGCAATTTGGTTTTACCTCTCTAAGAGAACCCTGTCTAACACACCTCCCCTTGGGTGGGTTAGTGCCCTGCTCCTCCACCTACCCATGTCTTTTTTTTTTTTTTTCTTACCTCCTTTTTAGTTGATTGTCATATGTGTCCCTGGATTGGAATTGGCCCCTGCCAGAGTACCTGGACCTCACTCCAGGAATGTGTGTATATAGTAGCTTTCTTCCTATGCCCCATTTTTTAAGTTTACCTCAGCTGACTCGTACTTGTCCTTTTGTGATTAGCTTACTTCGCTTACGTAATTTCCTCCAGTTGTTCCCATGCGGCAATGTGCTTCATGTGTTCTTCATTGCTTTTTAGGGTTGTGTAGTACTCCATTGCGTGTATGTACCACACTTTTTTGATCCATTCATCTGTTGATTAAAATTTGGGTTGTTTCCAACTCCTTGCAAATGTGAACTGTGCTCCAATGAATATTGCAGATGTCTGACTGTGGTTTAGTTCCTGCCTCTTTTGTGTATATGCCCAGTAGGGGGTTTGCTGGGTCATACGGTAGCTTGATTTCTATCTGTTTTAGATATTGCCAAATCCATTTCCACAATGGTTGTACATATCTACAGGTCCACCAGCAGTGGACGAGAGTTCTGTCTCTCCATAACCCTTCCAACACTTGTTACTTTCTGATTTTTTGATGTGCTATCTTTGAGGGTGTTAGATGGTATCTCATAGTTGTTTTAATTTACATTTCTCTTATGGCTAATAATCGGGAACATTTTCTCATGTTTATTGGCATTTGGATTTCTGCCTTTGTGAAACTTCTGATCCTTTGCCCACCTCCTCAGTGGGCAATTCGTTTTTTTCTTATTGTAAGCTAGAAAAGTATTATAGATTTTAGTAATACTGCCTTTGTCTGATGTGTTATTGCTAAAGATGTTTTCCCTGTCAGTGGGCTCTCTCATTACTCTCTTCGTGAATTCTTTCGACGTACACATGTGTTTTATCTTCAGTATATCCCACTTGTCATTTGTGCCTCGTGTGTATTTGTGTCCTTCCTTATTTCTAATAGCCTATGTATTCCCTGTGCCATAGTTCTCAGGTTTATCCCAATTCCTTCGTTAATGGTCCTAATAGTTTGGGGCCGCCTTGATTTTATTCTTGTGCAAGAAGTGAGGTAAGGGTCTTGCCTCATTTTTCTGCAGGTAGATATCCATTTTTTCAAACTCCACTTAGTGCTTCCCATTTGATAATTCTTGGGCCCTTATCAAAGATCAGTTGTCTATTATGATTTTATTTCTGGGTTTTCAATTCTTTTTCATTGGTCTGAGTATCTGTCTTATCAGTACCACACTGTTTTGATCACTGTGGCTGTATAACAGGTACTAAAGCAAGCCCTCCAACTTTGTCTTTCTTGAGTTCTCTGCTAATTCTGGGCTTCTTCCCTCTCCATATGAAGTTGGTAATCAGTTTTTCTATTTCTTTGAAGGATGATGGTATTTGTATCCAGATAGCATTAAATTTACATAGTGCCTTTGGCAGAACTGACATCTTTACTATATTGAGTATTCCAATCCATGTGCATTGGGTATCTTTCCATTTGTTGAGGTCACTCTTAGTTTCTTGTAACAGTATTCTATAGTTTTCCTCTTATAAATGTTTTGGTTTTTTTTAGTCGTGTATATCCCTAGATATTTCAGTTTTTGCTTGGCTGTTGTGAAGGGTACTACCTTTTTGATTACCTCTTCTGTGATCTTGTCTGATGTGTATAGAAGTCCAATATTCTAATGTCTGTTATCTTGTATTCTGCCACTCTGCCATATTCCTATATCTCTTCCAATACTCCAATTGTGGAGTTTTGTTGATTTTTAAAGTGCAAAATCACATCATCTGCGATTAATTAGATAGTTTCACCTCTTCCTTCCCAGATGATTACCTTTATGTCTTTTCTTTGCCTTATGTTGTTAGCTAGGAGCTCTAGTACAATGTTAAATAAGAGTGGGGATAGGGGTCATCATTGTCTGCTCCCCCTTTTCAGTGGGATTGTTTTCGGCTTTCTTCCATTGACTACCACATTAGCTATTGGTCTTTCATATATAGCTTGTATAATATTGAAGTATTTTCCTTCCATTCCTATCTTGAGTGTCTTAAACAGGAGAATTGGTGTTGGATGTTGTCGGATGCTTTTTCTTCATCTATCAATTGTATCATGTGGTTCTTATAATTTTTCATTTCAATGTGGCAAATAATATTAATGGTCCTTCGTATGTTGAATCATCCCTGTATCCCTTGAATGAATCTCACTTGGTCATTGTGAATTACTTGTTTTATATGCTTTTGCATTTATTCTATTAGCCAGCATTTTGTTAAGGATTTTTGCATCGATACTTATTAGGGATATTGGTCAGTAGTTCTGTATTCTTGTGGGATCCTTGCCTGCATTAGGTATCAAGAGTTAAACTAGTTTCATAGAAAGAGTTTGGGAGTTTGCCATCTTTTTCTATGTTCTGCAAGAGTTTGTGGAGGATTGGTGGCAATTCTTCCCTGAGTGCTTGGTAGAGTTCTCCTGTGAAGCCATCTGGCCTGGGGGATTTTTTTGTTTATAATCACTTAATAGCCTTGTCTGTGTTTTCTATTTCTATGGGTTTTTTGAGCTTCTTGATGTCCAACTGGGATAGTCTAGGGAGGGATTGCTTTTCCAAGTATTTGTCAATGTCTTCCAAGTTGTTTAATTCATTAGAATACAGGTAGTTAGAATACTGTGTAAATATCCTTTTGATTTCATTAGGGTCCATTGTAATGTCCCCTGTATCATCCCTCATCCTTGCTATTGGAATTTGTACCCT